TAGATTTATATACCAGAAACAGATGTGTGCATTAAGTTTTATCAGATTTGACAGGTTATCGGTTTTAACAGGATCAGGTTAAAGTATTACACATCAATTAATTAGACATTTTGTTCTCCAAGGAAAAAATTATATTTCTGGCTTTAAAATTATAATTTATCGGAAATAACGATAATCCCTAAATATTGAGTCCGGTTAATTATAAATTTGTAAGTGATTTTACTTTTTTTTAGTGGCACCGATATATATATTTATAGGGGCATTGCAGTAAATTAGAGATATTAGAACCCATGGTAGGTACTGTACGTACTTACACTCTTCGAATTATTTTTGATGACGTAAATCGTACCGATTACGTAATTTTTTACCAGTTACTAAAATCAAAAGCGAATGCGTTTTTAAGTAGTTTTAAAGATGAAGATGGAGGATTTTGAAAAACTGGAGAAGGTTGGAGAAGGTATTAATTTAAAAAAAAATAGTATATATAGATATGTATATATAATAGATATATAAAATATGTATTTAAGTATTATAGAATAATAAAAGTTTGCATTTCTATTAGTATGGAATTTAAGTTTGGCAACAAAATATACAATTTTTTTTTATTATGGGCACTTTACTTCTTTTAAAGCCGATATAATTATTAATCGAATTTATTTATTTATTATTATTTTATGATATATTTTTTTGTTTAAAAAAAAAACAAAAAAACAAAAAGGGACGTATGGCGTAGTTTATAGAGCTAAAGATAAAAAGACAGGAAGAATCGTGGCACTCAAGCAAGTACGTCTAGATTCACCATCTATCGGAGACAAAGAAGGAATTCCACCCACTTCACTTCGAGAAATTTCTCTGCTAAAGGAATGCACGAAACATGAAAATATTGTAAAGTACGTTTATTGTATAAAACGCATAACAAAAATATAACATATTTAATACATATTCTAATGTATGGTTAGACTACTTGACATTGTAAATCAAGAAAATAAGCTGTTCCTTGTTTTCGAGTTCCTTACAATGGATTTGAAAAGATATATTCATTCTTTTAAAGAAGGATTGGAGCATAAAAAGATTCTGGTATTGTTTTTTTTTTTTATGCATCCATCTTGATTACTTTGTTATAGGCTATTATTGAAAATACAATAAATCGATTTCATTCTTTAAAACCGAAAAAAATAGAAACTCATGTACCAACTTCTTGATGGTACTACATTCTTACATAAACGACGAATCTTTCATAGGGATTTAAAACCTCAAAATCTATTAATTGATCAAGAAGAAAATCTTAAACTAGCAGATTTTGGGTTGGCCAGAGCCGTTGGTATTCCTTTGAGACCTTATACACATGAGGTATCATTTAGTTTAAAATCTTTTTAAATCTAATTTGATAATTTTTGATTCTTTATACACGAAATGATATTTTATTTAGGTGATTACTCTATGGTATAGAGCCCCAGAACTTATGCTTGGTAGTCCAACTTATTCTTTTGCCGTTGATATGTGGAGTATAGGATGTATATTTGCCGAGATGGCTAATAAGAAGGTCTTATTCAAGGGTGAGATTCTATTTAAAAATATTTATCAACGTTAAGATTATTCTGTGATGTATATTATTAATCGATATGAACAGGAGATAGTGAAATAGATGAACTTTTCCGAATCTTTCAGTAAGCTTTATTATTTATTTATTTTGCTTTAATGCAAGATGTTCAATTCAATTAATAATGGCAATAATAATAATAATAATTTAAGGGTTCTTGGAACTCCGGACGAAAGTGTTTGGCCTAACATAACACAATTTAAAGATTTCAAGCCTGTTTTTCCAAAATGGAAACCACAACCTCTTGATAACTATGTTCCCACTTTAAATTCACATGGTGTTGATTTGCTCAGTGTAAGTTGAATTGTTTTAAAACAGCGTATATATTCGATGCAATGTTGGTTTTAAAACATCTATTCATTACGATATCTTTAACATATTTACGACACAAATACGAATAGAAAATGTTGACGTACGACGACTCATTACGCATCTCAGCTAAACGTGCTTTATCACATACTTTTTTCAACGAAATAAATGAAAATAATCGTTGTTTGTCGTCGAGACCATTATTAAATGACAAATGCGAACATGAAACTGATAATGCATGCAAACAATCATCTAGTACTAGCAGCCTTGCAGCACTAAACTCTAAATCAGATTTTATAAACAAAGATAATTGTGAAACTAATATCGGGAAAGAATATAAGCAACCTACGGAAGTGAATTCTACAGTGAGTGTTAGTAAAGTTGAGCCAGTTTCATGGAGACTTTAGACAGGTTGGTATGATAAAAATAATAGATACGTATGCACATAAATGTTTTATATATTTAAATATAACTATAAAAATGCTACAGATTTATCTAATTTATAATTTAAATACAACGTTCTTTCGCTATCGCATGAATAATTATATATTATAGATGGGAATTTACTACACATAATTTATACGGAAAACTAATATTCGAGACATCCTTTTTTCATTCACATATCTGAATACTTTCTTGAAATGAATTTAATTATTATACGTATGAGAGCAATAATTATTAGGTAATGCTATAGGTCGTGACTTAGTTATGTCAACTCGAATTTTACAGTAATATAAAATTAGTATAATGTGTCTTTGCGGATGTCGGGATATTATTTGTATTGTCACTGGTTAAAGTGACGTTTCTAAAAAAAGAGATCTAAGACGCCACAAAGGTCGAAGCTTTGAAATCCTCGGTTATGACATTAGACTTATCGGCTCAAAGACAATAATCGGCCAAATAACTACATTTAAAGCCAATACATTTAGTGAACGATACGCGCGGCAATGTGTAGAAATTCTAAGCGAAATTTTTGATGAAGGCAGTCAACTTATTTAGAACGTACAAGAAACTATACGCCTCTGACGAGCTGCCTTACACTATATTCTCTCGTCTTACCATTGCACATAAAATTTTTCAGTCAGTATATTTGTAATGGATAAGCTATACGGATATTCGGATATCCCATAGTACTATTTAGAAATTTTATTAGATATAATTTCATGTCTATTATTCTGGGTTAAAATTTTTCTTTTTTTTTAAATATCTAAATTTTTAAATTGCCTATTAAAACAATGCCTTTTTAAAAAATTATTATTTTTTTTTTAGCAATAAGATTATGCCCGAAGTATTATAGAAATTTATATAATTAGCTAATTTACAAAGATTAAATAACTAACCCAATCAAAGAAAACTTGAGATTAACCGAAGCTTTTTATCAATCATCGTGACCTTTATTAGAGATACACTACAACATTTAGTCTACATAATTAACGAAACCATACTATTATACACATTATTGTTCCTCTACCTTACTACGTAAACCTATAATATTAAGCAATATATTAGATATAAGAGTTAGCATAAGCTTATTATTATAATAACATGTCAAATGAGTGTTGCCAAGGGGAAAAGGCTACTTTAAACTTTATTAAAAGTTTGATCAAAGATAACTCAACAACTAGATCAAATTTATATACGTACAAATCTATAGAATTCAAATAAAAAAACTTTTATCAAATTTGATGTTTCTTTTCCCTTGGCAGCGCTCAAATGGTATACACCAAGTTTTTCAAGTTTAAATCTCACACGTAACGTCTCAATTTTCTTTCTTTGCTGACCGTTTCCAGCATTTAGAACTTATAGTTAATAAAACTTGTGCTAGTAATAGATAGTAAAAAACATTTGCTTCTAAGTGAAGCTCTTGGGATTGTGGATTATTTACATTAATATTAATGTTCGTTCAGAGATAGGAAAGGTTTTCATGCGTTTTTTGTTAATAAAACGTTACGTTCTTAGACGAATATCGTCTTATGGTATTATAGGTCTTAAAATTGGTGGAATGTGAGACCCATACAGCAGTTTACGGTATTCAATTTTAGGGGTGTTTCGTTACTAAATCGACACACAAATATTAATCAGTTAGCTTACTTTTTTTAACTGATCTAGCGTTACCAACCTAAAAAATTTCGCTGTTAGATTATATTAGGTTTTGCTATTAAGCTAGGCTAGAAAGAACTTTAATGGTACCAAAATTTCACAAGGAAAACTTTTTGTTAGTGCGCAGAAGGTGATTTCATAGATAAAATGTTGAGTTATGAGCGGTTTTTTGGGTTGTTTTGATCTTTCGCGTTTCTTCTGCGTCACACCTGATCTTGAAATCTGATTGGCTAGTGAAATTTTTTAGGTTTATTTATTTTGCTTGTATCGTTTTTATATTTTATGCTTTTTATTTTTTTATATTTGCCGTTTTTTTTGCCGTCGTTTGTCGTGTTTGCCGTCAAGAGTTGAAGAGACGTAAGAAACGAGTAATTTATCTTATATTAATTTATTAACTTGACGTCTCTACGGTAACCGCTCTGGGCTTCCAGGTTACATCTTTGACGATATTAGCTTTGGGTAAACACACGTGGTTACCCGAGAATGATTTTAGAATGTTAAAATATTTTTTCTAAAGTGAGCGACTTCCCGGGATACTTAGATCACTTTAATTACTTACACACACATATATATAATCAAATTTTGATATAGTCACTGGGTTGTAAGGGAGAAAGCTCTAAGGCAAACAAAGAATAATTCGGCACCAGGGCCCACAGGTATCACATACCCCCTACTCAAATGGGCAGGAAGAAAAACCAAGGAAGTATTCAGAAGTCTGGAAAGCAAGTGTCTGGCAGAAGGATACATGTGACTAAGGTGATAGTGCCTATACAGAGGTCTGACTGTCTTTTAGAATTGAAGGTTTGTCGTATATCTGGTGTCGGTTTAAAATTCAATCGTCTCAAAGTTACAATATTGTTGAATCACAAGAAATCACCGTTTGTCAAAAAAAAAACAAGCAGGAATACGATACGGCTGTGCGGAAACCCACCTAGTATCGCCACCAAAATCATGTACGTAATCGCTTCTTAAATTTCAATCTGAGTTTAACATAAGAATAA